TGCTCAACTTATCAGAGATGAACGGCAGGCAGAAAGGAATCTCAGTGATACTGCCCGATTTGGAGCTCCACACCGACGCAACCCGCGGACCACAAAGACGCGCTCACGCACAGCATAGCCGCTGGACGCCGCAATTTCCTGATCCAAAGCGAAGGAATACGAGCGCTCTTCGCCACAGGAGGATATTCGCATGTTTGCTACAATAGATCTTTCCATGCTGCTTGGATGTGCAAACAGAGAGTGAATCCCTGGTAATTAAAATATTTTTACTACTGGGCTTACGATACCATTTGGTTCTATATTCTCCCCCCTGATATAAATCTGCACAGAAACGCCAGTTATTCTTCGGTGGGTTTTTCCCTGGTAAATGCGATATTAGGCGACTGTTGATTGAGAATATTGGAGGAGATGTCTACTTCGGTTTGCATGGGACATACGATGCAACAGTCATCGATACCCCATAAAGCAGGGGTTTACCTTCAAGCGCTATCGCTTCTACTTTAGACACGGAAATAATGGTTATAGGTGCGAGTTGCTGTTTCATAGCTAAGCTCCTAAGCTTTATAATAATGCCCTGACCATCGGAATACCATACATTGTAAGCATTCGTAACGGGTCATTATACCGTGGATGCTTACCCATGCAACTGGAGCAATGACTGGTGCTCAGAGGGTAACTCGCAGGAAGCCTGAAGTGCTTCGTCATTTGATACATTTGTAATAGGTTGTCCGGAAAATAATGTCGCTTTTTGTTTAATTATGCAATATCGCAGCAGGGTGCGCAGAAAGTAAGTGAGTGGGATGTCAACCGATAGGTCAGAGCAAGCTCTACAAAATGAAGCTCGAACCTTCGCGCCAGGTTTGATTTGCGTGAAGTTTGGAGCCAAATTTCACAAGGCACTCAAGATCTAAAAAAACGAAAAAAATCGTATCTCCGTTCAGAGAAGTGCTGAGAACCTCTAACTTGCTCACGTTGGACTCACTATACGAGACACTCGTATGCGCATTTTCGCGGTTTTTCCATGGCTGAAAATTGAGAAAACCAAATTCGGCATATTTCTGCCAAAGCAATCCTGAGCTTCTCTTACACGGGTGATTCTGTAGCATGAACCTTTAGCAGTATAACCATGAACAGCTTTAGACAAGCGCTAGTTTTTGAGAAAAATCAAATTGTTTGCAAAAAACCGAAAGACGCGACATATTCGCACTTTTGACTTCTTTTTATTTCTCGTACTGTAGCCGTGGAAAAATACCACAAACTATACAGGTGAATGCCTAGTATGGAGAGTACATGCCTGTGCGAATTGGAGATCCTTAAGACGGAGATACGATTTTTCGGGCGTCTGAAATTTTTTATATTTTGGATTAGAACTTTAGGTGGAGCAACATCTTTGCTTAATTTGTGAATTTAGCTTGTAGAGCTTCCTTTGGTCTATCGAATGATCCCCCATTCGATGTCTTTGTGGTCATTCTGTCGCGGTAGGATGCCATGCGACATTATTTTCCGGACAACCTAATATATAGCGATGTTTCATCAAATGACTCGAGACCAGGGTCAAGCGTGTTGATGCGATCCTGGACCCTCATTTACGACCTCCCCTTGAAGGTACCCATCCGTACGACCCCCCCCCTCCCCTCCCCCCTCCCTTCCCCTCCCCAATCTTTCCCCTTACCTCCCCTGCCCACACTTCTCGCGGTAACCTTCATAAACTAATTCAATCTCAAAAAAAAAAACACCTGCGTGAGAATTTCAGTGAGGTTTCGGAAGCAGAACTTCTAGGCCAATGAGTGCGCCCAGCATCTCTAGCACATATACACACCTTCAATAATGTTTGAGATTCCGCAAGTTTACATTTGAATTTTCAGGCCTACTTCAGGCCAGCAAATTCGATTCCCGTAGGCGACACAAATTTTTACACGGAGAACAAAATGACATTCTTGAACTACAAAAAAATGTTTTCGACAAAGAAACTCAGTTCTTATTTCTTCCACAGTTTTTCCTGCAAAAGAAACCGCTTTAGCGCCGTCCAGAGCGACGTCAAAAACATGCTGAACATGGTAGTTCGAAAATTCGTAACTAAGGCCATGGAAAAGACTGAGAGACTGTAAAGAACAGTTTCTGTAGCACAGTGCACAGTCTATTCATAGAAAAAGTTTCAGCCCTTAAGGAGCAGTGAGCTCGAAAAAATTTAAATCAGGCTCTCGCAAATTTAGATGCGATCCTAAAAAGCAAAAACTGGGATTTTTGAGCTCAAAATTTTGTAACTTACCAGAAAGGTTGTAAAACAGCCTGCAATTTTTATGAGAGAAAGTAGGAGGATGGCCTCGTATTACAGCAAAATTGCAGTCAACAAGCTTCAATAGCTCCGGGAAATTTTAGATGATACGACCTCCCCTTTTGTCATTTTTTGCCAACATACATAAAATCATAAAAAAAATCCAAAGACTATAAACTAGGACCAAATTCTGCATAAATGTAGTAGAGCACCTCTTAAGTACACATAAATTGTAAAGACCGTATGAAAAGTATTACAAAGATTTACAAATTATTGATGATTAGCGTTGATAGAGACATGCGCTTTTGTCGAATGTGCGAGTCTTATGTGAGCCTTCGGAAGCAGGATGTCTACACCAATCGGTACATCTAACATCTTTATCACACATACATGCCTTTAGTAGCATTTTAGCTTCTGAACGTGTTTATTTTTTGATTTTACTCATGCCAGCAGGGTTCGATCCCCGTTTGAGACAATACTTTGCGGGAGAAATAGCGATTCCCATAAAAAAAGAACTAAGTCATACCTTTAAAAGTGCAGCAAATGAAGCGAATTTCTACGCTTGCAAATGTTTTCAAATTATTGTTCACTCGTTTTTATTTGATACATTGGTACACGCCATTCCACGAATCTAATGTTAGGAACTTTTAATAATTACTTGCCATTTGATTTGCTTTCAATCGTACGTTTTTTATCCAAGCTACCCCCTCTTACAACCCCCCCCCCTCACCATAAGCGCCCTTTTTACGACCCCGCGTTGCGATCGCATCACACGCTCGACCCTGCTCGAGACACAGTTTTCGCTAAGCCGTGTTTCGCGTAGACGTTCAAATAGCATATTGGTACTGCTCAGACGTGCAGTGACGAACCTTGAAAGTTGTACTAAAATGATGTTGAGGAACCATGCTGTTCTATCCGTGGGATCGCCAACGCCACTGAGTATGGGTCGAACTTTGAAATCGCGCGCGTTGCTTGAAGTCAGTCCTACTGCCGGAGGTTTGTGCTTCTTGATTAAAATGTAGAGGACTGGACAGACAGGTCGCTTTTTAGTCGTGTAATTATGCTTTTATTAAGCCTTGCAGAATGTGCAATTTTCACCCACGTCCTATTCAAGCGGCGGTACTGTTTTCTACACTCGTCAGCTGATTACGGCGCGTATATCGTCTGCCAGATAATACCGTGTTATGCCATATCCATTTCACGTAACAGGATCACAAACTCCCCACCTTTACCACTGACTGATACCTTAATCTGCCCAGCACTGCAAAGAGCATGGATTTCGCATAGGCCGCGGCGTTGCGCAGTAGTTAAATTACTGTTTGCGCGTTCTCAAAGAATTTGCTGATGACAGAGAAAACTGAAGTGGTGAAGACGCGAAATTTGGTATCTGCCGCACTGTCGGGTTCCTGCGGTTTGCAAAACAGGCGAGGAATGGGATAGAAGGTATGTATGGAAAAGTTTGCAATTGTTTCCATGCCATTTGCGCGCTGTTCCTTTTTGCCCTGCGTCGCAGTGATTCGCGAACAAATTGCAGGTTGCTCACTATCTTGCGTAAGACCCGAGGCCCTATTGATTAAGAAAACTGAAAAACTGAGAAAGTGAGAAAGGGTGAGAAACTTGGACCTAGATCCAAGACAGACAACACGTCATCGGAGACAAGCGTATCACCTATGAGAGAGATATGGGAACACTTGGCATTAGAGAGCTTTTCTCAGTGCAGTCTTGCTGTTTTGAATGCGGGCTTGTACTGGTTACTTGTGAATCTGACTATGCCCTACACTAAACTAACTTCTCAAATTTCTTCTGGAGTTCCAGTCTTGACATCAGAACGAACGAGATCGCGTATAAACTTCGACTCACTCACAAATCTTTTTTAGAAGCGATCGGGCAGAAGACGCAACATTGCTTTTTATACAAACACTTCGATAATAACGTATACATGTGGTCCTTCATGGTCCTTCATTTGGTGCTGCGCGTAAGAGAAATTGTTCGATTTCTTGAATTTGGGCGAAGGAAGTGGATGGATTGTCGTTCGGAGACGATTTTCTGTCTCATGGAGAGGACTTTTTTTTACGATTCAAAAGTATCTCGCTGGTAGGTCGTTGGTTATTGCCCATGTTCGATCGTTTTTGAATCTTGGCATTCTTGGTAGTTGTGAACTGGTGTGTGAGCGTTATAACAAGGTTAACAGTTCTTTATTGACGGCTACGTTTCGGCGCTTTCGCCTTCAATAAAAAATAAAGAGAGTCAATAAAAAACTATTAACAATCTTGGAATAACGCGTACACATTAGTTCACAACTATCAAGAATGCCAAAATTCAAAAACGATCGAACATGGGCAATCTACTAATTTTCAACACAATTCAGATTATGTGAAAATGTAACAAACCTTTTCATGTATGCTTCCCTGCATGAGAAACAAATTATGTGAAAATGTAGCAAAACATTCTTATGCATGCTTCCATGCATGAGAATATTGCCTGTGTGCCTTTTTTACAGTATGTGCCAATTTGGGCTCCTCCTCGGACTTCCAATTACAATTTCCTTTTTGCTTTTGGGCCCAAAACAATATCCAGCTTGAACAAGCGCAATACTACAAGGCCCTAAAGAGAAAAAAGGCGTTCAGAACAATGGCGTGTACTGTGTGCGACGTAGGCAGATTTGGTTGCTATTCGATTTTGTGTACTTGTGTCTATTCTCCAAGAAAGCATAGCATTCTTTTTCAGGTAGCAAAGTTGAAAGACCTTCGAACTACTGCGGAACTTTGGGTATAAAGATTATTTGACTTGGTAATTATTAGGTTGTCCGGAAATTAATGTCCGTTTTGAATTTCAACCGCAACAAGTCATACAAATGGCAGTCTCGCTTTAGCAACAGCTCTGATCCACCTCGAGTTTCGAGCCAAAAACTAAAAAGATTCAACTGCCCGAAAAATCAAGAAAAATCATAATTCATTTCGTAAATATTCTACAAAAATTCTAACTTGCTCACGTAAACACTATCCATATAAGACATATATGTACGCTATTGCCGTATTTTTTCCTCTGTTAGAAATCGAGAAAACGAAAATTTTCGTATTTTTGCAAAAGTGATGCTGTGTCGTCCCCATATAAGTCGATGTATACTACAAATCTGTAGAAGTAAAAACGTGGATTTTCAGCTTTTTACAAGCTTTAGTTCTCGAAAAATTTTGAATTTTAGTTTGGACCACCTGACTAATAAAAGCTATATTCGATATTTCTCGAGAACTAAAGCTTGTAGAGAGCTGAAAATTTACATTTATACTTCTACAAATTTGTAGTACACATCCACTTATGTGGGGACGACACAGCATCACTTTGGCAAAAGCATGAACATTTTCGTTTTTTTCGATTTCTAACACAGAAAAAAATACGGCAATAGCGTACATACATGTCTTATGTGGATAGTGTTTGCGTGAGCAAGTTAGAATTTTTGCAGGATTCTTATGAACTGAGTTATGATTTTTCTCGATTTTTCGGGTAGTTGAATCTTTTTAGTTTTTGACTCGAAACTCGAAGTGGATCAGAGATATTGTTAAAGCAAGAGAGTCATCTTGTAGAGCTTGCTTTGCTCTATCGAATGGTACCTTGAAATCTATTCAGGAATGAAAAGTGTATGACTTATTGCGGTTGAAATTCAAAACGGACATTAATTTCTGGACAACCTAATACAAATATATTATATCTTCCACAAACAAGTTCTATTTGTTTACTAACAAGCAAAAAGGCATGGTTTTTCGCCGCGCGCCAATTTAAAACGTGTTAAAATCGCCTCCTACGTAGACGTAGCCTGCGGCGTCAAATGTTAGTAACAAAAAGTCGATTCTTGTCCAAAACATATCTTATACAGGGTGTCCCAAAAAATATTAACACTGTTTGATCGTTAATAACTCCCTTGATTTCGTATCTTTAGGCGAGCTTGAGGCACCATTCTATAGAGCGAGGTTAAACTTAGATTCATAGTTTGAAGCGAATCACCGTTTGTTCTTCTTTACTGTAGGATTACGGTAAGGAATTCCAGCATATGGAACCGTCGTGAAGTATGCCCTCTGACAAAATTTTTTTCAAAAAATCTGAAAAATCGTATACTAGGGTTTTCGCGCACGCTGATTTTACTACACAACTTTTTACAAGTGTTTTCAGCATTTTTGACGGCATAATCACATTTTCGACACATGCTGAGAAGTCATTATTACACTTTACCTAGGATAACTTTGAAAAGAAGTATCATAATGAAATGGAAATTTCATATCCGAAGTCAGCGGCTTTCATTATCATAGTACAAGAGATTTTGGCTCGTTTGGCTCTGTTTCGAAGCAGAAAATGGCCTTCAATGGCCTAAAATCCTTGTCAAATTTCCTACCTTAATTCTACAGTAAAGAGGAGAGTTAGATTATTACTCGCTTCATACTGGGAATCTAAGTTTATCCTCGCTCTACAAAATGGTACCTAAAGCTCGGCGAAAGACTCGAAAGCAATGGAGTTATTAACGATCAAACAGTGTTAACATTTTTTTGGGACACCCTGTATATAAAGCTGAATGTCTGTTTGTATGTCTGTCTGTCTGTATGTCTGTCTGTCTGTCTGTGTGTACGTATGTTCCGAATAAAAAATTCCATTTCTGAACCGATCCGGACCAAACTTGGCACACATACACTTCGGGCCCCGGCGGGTGTCATAGGCTACTTTTCGTCATCGATCGATATCGATTTTATCGATTTTTTGCAAAATTTGAGCTACGGGGCTGGGAGTTGGCACAAGGGGGTAATCGAGCATGCTGATTACGAATTTAATAATGACAAGGCGGGCGGAGCCGGGTAAGTCAACTAGTCCTTTATAACATCAGACATATGTTCGTAGTATAGCACTATTACTTAGATTGTGACCACCTCTGTTTTTTACCTTAATTGTCATCAATCTAACAGAAATGTCACCTCGGTTATCAACTCGCGGTATTTCCCGCAAGCGATGACCGCAACTCCGTTTTGGCGGCGTCTGTGTCTCCAGTGTAGATGCGGTATTCCTTGCCGATGTCCTTGCCTTTTCTTCACGTTTCATATCACACATGCGATGTCGATGTGTCGTCCCTAGCCTACCGTATAGCATTCGACTGCGGCTCGTTGGCATTCCTACGATGATCGTCGCTAATCAAACTGCCTGGACTTGCTTCCGGTCTGCCGCGTCTAAGGGCAGGTAACACTAGCTCATTATTCGCGCCATGCCACATTGGCGCGCGTAGCTTCCGAGGGACGCCTAGCATTTTGATGAAAATCTTTAGTAGTCTGATGCATGTGACACGGCCGATTCCAGTCACCTGCGCGTAGCTCCACCTGACGGGACAGTTCTTCGTCGATTGTTGGGATTTAATCCCCATTGCATTCGGTCCCGCGGGAAGGTGACAGTGGGACTTTGCCGCCCAGGATGATGGCAGACATTACGGATCCATATTCACCTGCACATTGTACCGCATAAATCTTTGAAACTGACGAACAGCATGTCCACGGAGAGCTTTTAATTTTGTTAAGTCAAATTCATCACATGAAAAGTAATCCCAGAGTCCATACTTGCGAAAGCGCCTCATCCTGCCTTTTAAGCGTTTAGATTAAGAACGAAATTACTTAGTTAGATACCTAGATGACCGGTCCTCACGTGATCTGCGGGCCGAAGTACAAAAGTTGTCATTGACCCTGTCCCTCACTTCAAATATCCACGATCTCTCTGGTTGTTGTCTGCGGCGGCGTCTACAAATTCCAGGGGCGAAATTCGTATCCAGCTGACTTCTCAGCTGGTCCATAAACACATCTGCCCATCTCGTTGGGAGTCTTCCTCGGGGACGTTTCGCTTCGCGAGGAATCCATTCCGATGTTTTTAATGTCCATTTATCGTCTTTTCTTCTCATGATGTGACTGATCCATTGATGTTTCGCTTTCGATACGTATTCCGCTGGGTCACGAAGATGGGACATTTTTCTCATCTCCGTACTGCGAAGGATCAGATGTTGTTTGTGTTGGGTCATCTTCAGAAGACTACGCTCTAGCGCTCTGTGGGTGGTCCTTAAAGCTTTCGACGTGGCTACGGTTTTTTTCAGAGGGCCAAAAGTGGTCCAGGCCGTTCTCTTCTCCTGTTAAGTTTCCTCAAGTCGTTCTCCTTCATAGAACGTTCGTGATACACGAAGACGTTTCCATGACAGGATCCAGATCCATGTCCGCATTTTCGCAAAAGGCGTTCTTTATAAATTGAGTCTTCTTCCGATTTGTTAGCAATCCGATCTTCTTCCCTACTTCGTTTAGTTCCTTCAACATAGCTCTGCTTCAGGGATACTGCTCGAGAAGAGAACGATGTCGTCCGCAAAAACGAGAGTTCGACAGGAATTTCCCATCGATTCGTAGGTCTTGAACAGCTTATACGAAATTGTGCCACCTTGTCGTCCTGTCGGCTAAGTCAAGCTGGGTCACTCCTTGATCGACTAGCGCTGGTAGGATGACGCTGGTTTCGAAGCTGTCAAATGCTTCCTCTTAGTCGACGAAGATTAAGACAAGAGGTCGGTACTCTGGCAGACTTGTATGACCCTCGAAACTGTCTGAATGTGGTCCAAGCAGCTGATCCTTTGCGAAATCCAGCTTGCTAATGGTTGGACTTCATCACCAGTGTCCTAGATATGCGAGCGAGAATAATATTCGTGAAGACCTTGTACAGCACTCTCAGCAGGCATATTGTTGCTATCTCGTCAGTGAATACATTTCCGCAAGCAGCGTGTTAGCTTATTGATATGTAGAAAACTCTTTCTAGTTTGAAAAATGCAGAAAAAATCAACCAACAGGCAATCGTGACTACAGCAACAATTAGTACTGATTCGTATTCGTGAGTCCGGTAACTATTTATAACGGACTCTAACCTCCTTGCAATTTTGAAGTAATTAGCATTGGCAAATATCAAAATGCTTGGCTTGGCTCCTCTACAATTAACGCAGTAAACTTTCTTCAAATGTCTTTCGAGATTGGCAGGCTATGTTGGCATTAAGATTAACAAGTTATCTTCGGCCACGGGTGCGTAGCAAGTGGTACCCAGGCAGCCGGCTGCTGCCGCATCCAGCCGTCAGAGCTGCCGGCAAAGCTGCTGCAGATGGTACAGTAACTACGCTCGTCGTCTAAAGCTCTTGCCGAGAGGTTTTCTTGCACCTCGTCGCTCTGAGGTGCGATATCAGCCTAGGGAAAGCGTGATATCCTCGATATCTATACTATTTTGAACAGCAGAAAATCCATGTTTTTTGAGAAACATGCAAATAAACAGACGTAAACAGGGGAGAGGTTCCTCAAAGGAAAATGATCACAAATTCAATTCACTTCAAAAACTTGAAGGTAGCAGAAGCTAAAAAGTTCAGAAATTTCTCAAATTTTTAGAGATTTTTTCTCGCTTTTACAGAACGGACCAAACCATTACAGGAAAGTGTCATGGATAAAACGGTAAAAAAAACTCTGTCAAGATGATTATTTCATATATAGTGGGTTAAGCGAGCTAAATAAGGCAAAGTAGGTCAATCAAATCAAGTAAATCAGTAAAATACGCCACATCTGCTGATATAAAAGAGAACACCAACAAAAAGCATGTACTATTTTATTATCTACACAGTTCACTTCTCTAGGTATTTTGAGAAAATAAAAAAATAATAATGAAAAAATTCGAAATTCATAACTCTTTGCAAATAATAAAAGCTCAAAATTGAAAGAACCACCTCTGATAATCCTTCATTTTTGCCTAATTTTCTCAGC